AAAGTTCTCCTTTAATTTTGCTAAAGTTTTTTCCCAGCCCATATGCCTCAGTGATTCGTGGTAACTGTTAATGAGGCTCCATTGAAAAGATTTTGGAACTACCTTGCGAAGTTTTTCATCGTGCTCATCCTTATGATACAAAATATTATCCATACACACATATTCTCGACTTAATTTAACGTCCTTTTTTAGATTGTTAATAATATTACATATCTCTTCATCACGCCTTTGTTCCATTATAAGCCAGTCATCTTTAAGTCCAATGTGTAATATAATGGGGTTTCGACTAAAAAAATCGGCATGTCGTAACTTCTCACCTTTTCGGTATTCTACCTCAAAATCAAAATTTTGTAAAAATGCCCACCACCTGTGTATTCGCGGCAATAGTTCTTGCTTGTAACGGGAAGCTTTTACTGCGTTGCAATCTGTTATAATGGAAAATTTCCTACCGTATAAATAATGACGGAAATGCTTTACCGCCCGTACTATTGCAAGCGTTTCGAGTTCATAAGAGTGGTATTTTGATTCAGCTTTCGTGGTCCTCATACTGAAATACCCTATAACATGTTGCCGACCTTCTTTAATTTGTACTAGTACTGCGCCAAGTCCAGCTGCACTTGCATCAGTATGCAGTTCAATTGGTAGGTCTTCTTGGAATATTGTTAAAAGTGGTGATGATATTAGATAGTTAATTATTTTGTTTCTTACAGTCTCATGTCGTTCTGTCCACTCCCATTTTACTCCGTTCTTTGTAAGATCATATAATGGGATCATTTCAGTAGAAAAATTCGGTATAAATCTTCTGAAATATCCTGCTAGTCCATTAAATTGCCGTAGTTGTTTCACATTCTTTGGTGGTACAGTTTTGGATAGAGCCTCAACTTTGAGAGGGCTTGGTCTTATTGTGCCTTCGCTTACAACATATCCTAAATATTCAATAGAGGTCTTCATAAAAGAGCATTTATTTATGTTAAATGTAAAACCAGCCATAGTAAGTGCTAAGATAACTTGCTCTAGTTTTACCAAGCCTTCTTCGAAAGTTCTGCTAGGAATTAAAACGTCATCAATATAAACGAGGGCTGTTTTTCCTAAAAGTTCTCCAAGTGCTTTATTAATAGCCCTTTGGTAGACAGAAGGGGCATTAGTCAATCCAAATGGCATGGTTAGATATTCATATTGCCCATCTGGGGTAATAAAAGCAGTCTTCTCAATAGATTCTGGTGCGATCGGTATCTGATGGAAGCCAGCAGCCATATCTAAGCATGTAAAATATTTGGAATCTTTTAATTCGTCTAGCTGGTCAGTGATTATAGGCAATGGGTAGTGATCACGGACGGTATTAGAATTGAGTTCCCTGTAATCAACACATAACCTATCTTCACCGTTCTTCTTTTTTACGAGTATCACTGGACTAGCAAATGGTGAATTGCTCTCCCTTATAATATTTTTTTGTAACAAGTCACTTAAAATCTCCTTCAGTTTCAGTCGTTCGATTGGAGCCATCCGGTATGGTCGTCTTTGTACAATTTTGTCTTTATCCTTCAGTCGAATAACGAGTTCACCGGTTTTTATACGAGAACCTGAAACACCTTCTGTAAAGGATGTACGAAACCTATTAAGGAGGCTAGACAGTTTTTGAAGGCTCTGTTCATCTGTTATATCTGTCTTTATTTCACCAAAATTAGTATGCTCTACTTGCAGAACCGTTTGTGGCACGCTATTTCTTAAAAACGTGATAGATTGTTTTGTCAGATGAACCTCTATTCCTGGAATGCTCAAGATATCTTTACCAATTAAAATGTCAACAGGTATCTCATGGTCTAATACTTCATAAAATATAATTTCTATGTTGATGCTGTCAATTGTACATATAGCAGACACTTGAGTCAGTGACAGAACTGGTATAGATCCGATTCCTTTTAGTTGTGTGATAATATTTTGTCGTTTTCCAGGTATTCCAGATGCCACGGATTGTTTTATCAAAGAACAATCAGCTCCGCTATCAAATAAGCCTTGATATTTTCTGTAACCAATAGTAATATTTAATAAATTCTCATAATGTTTACCTTTTTCACATGTGTTAATCCTTTTCTCCGCATTTATCCTTTTAAAACAGTTATCAATTGTATGTCCAGGTATAGAGCAATATGAACATTCTTGTTTTTGTTCTTTTTTCTCATTTTGTATTTTCATTACGGCATTCTGATTGCAAAATCTGGCTCTATGTCCAATTTTGCCACACACGTAGCAATTTACATCAGGCTTTTGGTTATGGCGCGGCTTCTTATGAGGGATAGTATCATTAGACGATTGTGAAGGTTTTCGTTTTCGCATAGTTTTTGCAATTGCGATTAATTCAGGAACAGATTGAGACTTGCTATTAAGTAATTCTGTTCGAAGTTTATCATCAGTAATACTGCCTATAACAAACTCAACAGCGTCTTGTTCAGTTGGATTTGGTTTAACTATTCTTTTAAATGTTCTCCAAACGTTGGAAATGTATTCGGTTATATTTTCCACATTGTCAATAGTGTAGTTTCGAAATTTTAATATTTCGGAAAAATATCTGCTTTCTGGTTCGAAAGTTTGTAGCATATCATTTCGCATTTCATCCCATGTCGTTGTTCTTAATAAGCATTCATCAGCCCAAATTTTTGCACGTCCCTGTAACACTCCTGCAGCTTTCAATCTAACTTCATGATCTCTTAAGTTATATTCAGCTTGAGTTTTGGATATAAGTTCAACCCAGTCCTTAACATCTGTTCCTTTATCTGGATCAAATGCCGGAAAATAAACGTCTGAAATTCGAATCGTAGAGCTCATATTAGGTTGAATCATTTTACTATATCACATATAGTGGCGCGATTCTCATTTGATATTTGTGATAGCATCTCGGTCATAGTATCCTTCAAGGTGTTTATAAAAAGACTCATTGTTGATTGTCGTGAGGAACTAGCACCACTGTCCTCATTATTTCCATTTTGTGACCTCGAATTATCCGTCATGGCGTGGTTATTTAAAGTTCAGTCCCGGCTTCTGATAAAAGAATAAAATGATATATTAGTTTCATATATTTTTATTTACTATAATAACATATAAAAATAACAAGAGAAATTCATAATCTTCATAGAACTTTATATAATTATATAAAAGAAATTAAATAAATAGTTAAAATCTCTATTACTGAAATAATTCATGTATAAAAATTATAATTAATTTATAAATTAAAATTCATTAATTTAAATGGGTAAACACTTCTCTAGATTCAGATTTCAGTTAAATTAATCACCAACAATATAATAAAAACCACTGTAACACAATCACTATAACACAGTCACTGATAACACCGTCACTATAACTTCACAACACGTCCGAAGTCGACTCGCTTCTGAACCGCTGTGTCGATTCTCTGCCTTTTTATAACTTATCATTGTCGGCGCCACTAGTAGGGTAAACTCAGCTGTCAATTGACTTTTCGTATTAATTAATCATGATTTCCGTTGCGCCACTAGTAGGTTGAAATTAGCAGTCAATTGATATTTCGTATTTATTAATTTTATTATATAATTTTTGTTATTGCGCCGATATACATATAATAAAATTTTAACTAAGCCGAATCCGTACATTAAATATTTTTTGGAAAATCTTATCGAAACAAACATTATTATCGATACAGAGGCCGAATCTATAGTTTTTAGTATTTTTGTCTGTATGTCTGTCTATCTGTCTGTCTGTTACCGCATCACAGAAAATCTACTGGAGGGATTTTGATGAAATTTGGTATGATGATAGCTGGTTATCCGGGTCAATATATAGGATACTTTTTATCGCGGAAAAATATCTCATTTTTGAGAAAAAATACAAAAACTGCTATTTAAGAGTATACTTATATGTAAAACCTAAGAATTTGGTTTTTGGCCATCTGAACGCGGGCGGAGCCGCGGGCAATGCTAGTTATGAATATAAATGGACTCAGCCAAAAAAAATGTCAAAGTCAAAAATAGTAACGTGTTTTGCTTTTTATGCTACTATTCTCAACTCTGCCTCTCTCAAATATTGTTAACAATTATTGAGAGCAAAATATGAACAACAAAAATAAAATTATATTATTTTGTATTTTCTAAGCATTAGATTTCTTTCCTTTCAAAGAAAGATGTATAATATTGGCTTACTTTTTTTTCTTATCACTACAAAAGATATTCTATTAGTATTTTTATTATGTTTTAGTATATAATATAATATTTTAAATGTTTCATGTTTAGTTCTATGGAAACCGGGTTATATTATTCCTTAGTCTGAAATTAGTACATTGCATAGATTTCAATTTATAAATGTTGTATATTTCTATAAGAAATCGTCATATCTGATTGAAAACACATGCTGAAATAGAGGTAACGAATTTCATCAACTGATGTTTTACTTTAGTTAGGTTATGTTTATCACATCTCGCTCAACGTGCGTTCACCTTATCGTGGTGAGAGGACTCATTAGCATCCGGCAATCCAGCCGGGCGCGAAACCAAGAAATGCACTGGGAGATGGCTGACCTCGGTGGGCGATGTGCCATGCGGGTAGCTTCTGATGCTTCTCTTATAGCAGAGTGGACCATTGGAGCAACCCCATGGCTATTGTGGTCTACTTTGGCAGACCCTTTGTCGGGTTGCCTTGGTTGAGTGCGTAAGTGATCCTATGACGCCCCATTAAGATGGGAGAGGTTTTGTTGGGTTTTAGTGGGTAGTACTGGCTTTTCTAGCCGGTGAATCCCACATAACCACCTTTATGTATACAGGTAGTATACGTGAATAGATTTCCGAACATTAAAAAAAATGCTTATCACATGCATTGTTTCGTAATCGGGATTACTACATTAGAAACGTTAGTTTATAAGTTATTAACTTATAATGTAAAACGACTGTAAATAGGTATAAATAAACATTATTTTACCCCTCAGTTACACATAGTAGTGGCGTCCCCTAGATCTTTTTATTTTGTACTACGAGTATGGTTTTTTTACACCACGACGGTGGCAATCATGCATACAGCCCGCCTGATGGTAAGCGGTTACCATAGCCTGCACCACCAGCGGCATCACATGCACCTTGCCGACTCTTAAAAAACCTATTTACTCCCCTTTTGAAGGACCCTATTCTGTAGACCTCTGGGGAAAACCTCGGCAGGGAGTTAATTCCACAGCAGAATGGTCCGTGGGAGGAAATTCCTCTGAAACCGAACTGTACGGGATCATTTGGGATGCAATGGACCTTTATTGCATCCCAAATTGTACTACGTTATTGTACATGTTCACAAAACCGCTTATTATTACTATATCTTTACACTTTTAGCTATATACGTTATATAGTTTCAGAGAACATGACTGTGTTATATAGACAGACAAACATTATGAAATAATAAATACATATATATGTATATATTTATTATTTCACCATGCCCCAGGCGGACATTTTTGCTATTTGATGTAGTAATAATATGAGATAAAGAGAAAGATTACAATATTATTTTTTCCTATCGAGACACCGAAGTGTATTCGTTATCTTTACTCAAAAAGCATTTTTCTACAATAAATAATGATAAAACATATACTCGTAAAAAGGGATCTACGTAGTCTCTGTTCACTGATAAATTAAGTTTTTGGTATCAAATGTATAATATAAATTTTATTAATATCTGCATTTACTATTCTCATAGGAATCGGCAATTATAATTGTGAGCTTATGTTGTATATAACTAAATATTTATGGTTATTTTACTTGTATTAAATGAAATATTTTTTCTATAAATCCTTTTCTACTTTCTACGGAGTAAAGGACGGAGAGTACCTACTTCTAAGATGGAAATTGCCTCTTATAAAAACTTGTGCTAGACACTCTAAGACTTACAATTATTGTAAGTCTTAGATTTTAACATGTAACAAGTGACATATCGACTATTTAATATTCCACTGGAACAGAAGGATAAATATTATATTATGATCGTCTCTGTCCCATAAAATATGTCTATATAAAAAAATAATTTTCTACCGCTTTGTGAAAGATGGACAAACTAATAATAGCACTTTTGCATTAATAATATTAGTAAGATATTACACATAAAGGTATATATTTTATGTCCCCTGGTATATATCCAACATGATTACCACTTATCTTACGGTACCATTTTATAAGCAGGTATATTTGGAAAGCTGTAGTATAAACCGTCGATACTGTTTTAGTTTTGTTACTTTCCTAGACTCATTAGCTTTAGTATTTGTAAGCTAAACTCGTTTTCCTTTTAGTACTCGTATAAGTACATAGTTTATAAACTAAGCCTTAAACTTAACTAGCCTTTCTCAATACTGTTCTAACCAACAGCTGTATATTCGCAGCCTGCTAATAATAGATTTATTTGATGTAGGCTTTGCTTATCGATGCACTATAACACATCTTTTTCGTTTAATTATCCAACCTCAAATATTTACTTTGATATAATACTATTTAGATAAAATTTTTGTAGAAAAATAAAAGTAATATAAAATAAATAAATAATGTTGGGACATTAAATATTATATTAAATCTATAAATTAAAAAAAACCAACACAGTAACCTATTCATTGAGGTTATTTAAAGGAACCTAAGCACGATATTTATATAGTATTTTAATAAAGAGTTGCAATAACGGAATACCAAGTTTCGAATGCTTTAGATATGGTAGAAGTTGCTGATATCCTTTTACCGTCTAGAGAAAAGCTGATAGCCTGCAAATGGCTGAACTGATTTTCTTAATTTATAGCTAAGAAAACTCACTTTTTTGTTTCAAAGGTGACTTTATACTCACCTATCATATAAAAACAGAAACAAAACAAAATTTCTAACACTCGTCTTTTAGGTCGGTGGTTAATAAAACAGTAATATATAATTAAACACTTTCTTCTGGCAAATCCTTAATAACTCAAAAACTCTCGAATTAAAATATCACTAATAAAAAGATCCACTCGTGCGGACTATTTTAGAAATATTTCAACGCTGCATTTGAAATCAGTTCACATGAAACAAAAGCAATATCCATCGTGCTCAATGATGCGTCAGCCGTTCTTATCTCTTAAAGGAATAAATCCGTAAAGGAAAATACTCTGTAGTGGAACCGAAATTGCTTAAAACAGTGTAAAGAGTACGGAATCTATTAGAATTTATAATTTATTACATTTTAAATTAAAAAAGCTCATAGTATTATGTATTGGTTATTTATCGCGGATTTGATTTCTGCAGAATGATAAATAAGAGGAAGTGAATTTGCAATTTTATACAAGTATTATAAATGCGAAAGTTTGTATGTATCTTTGTTAATCCATCATGCTGAAACAGCTGCACAGATTTAGATAAAATTTAATTCATATAAACTATTGACTGGAGTAACATAAAGGCTAATGCTAGTAATAAAATTTACCAGAAGGTGGTGCCACCTGTACGTTATATTATATATAGAGGAAGTACTAATGGACGTACCCAAAACGAGGGTAAGTCGGTAGTAATAAGTTTATTAAGAGTAAATAATAAGTTATTAAGAGCTTTGAAGTATATTTTAGGTGGTTGAGAAAGCGTAGAAATGAAAAAGTATAATTAAATCGTGATAAGCACGACGGTAAAACCGTGTCAACAGTTAGAGCATACATATAATATATTATTTATACGAGTACATACATACTTAGGGCCTTTATTTCAGCAAATAATGACTACGTCTTTTGTTGAAACAAAATACCCAATGAGGTAAAGCAATTATTATCACGTATGATGAACAATGTAACGCCAATTATAAAACAAAGCAAGTTACACCTAGAACAGGCAATAATAGGTAGAAGTATTAACTTCAAGATTTGAGCAAAAAGCAGCGATAACAGCTCTGTCGTTTAACGTTATGACCAAACTTCTAACGAGCTGTCATAAACTGGATATTTACTTTCTTCACCTTCGATGTACCAGGTACTACGGTTGCTGTCGTAAAATCTTATCGCAATATCAAAATTGTAACACGACTTTAACATTAACTGAGTTACAGTTTACTTTGGTTTTGTTTTGGGTATCGATAATTTTATCTTTCAGAACCAATGGCATCTTTATTTTTTCTGTTAATCCTTGCCTTTTATGCCGTCAGTAACGTTCGTAAAACAAAAACAATGTTTTTACAGAAATGGAAATAAAGCGGGATTGGTTCGCGCATCAGTTCGTTTTAACGATGTTAAGAGAATGGCATGATGTATAACTTTTGTTCGAGATTTCACTTTACATTATTATTGATGATCAATGAAAATATTATAATTAATATTTGTTTTTATAATGTAAATCTTTAGTGTATTTTATTTTATGCGGATGTTTCCTTATAAGAGAATAATAATTAAATGCAAACCTTTTATATTTAATTAAAAAAAAGATATATATATGTATATATATATATATATATATATATATATATATATATATATATATATATATATATATATATATGATGGAGGAGGATTTAGTTACCTTTTTCTGTTATGAATCCTTATTATTGTTTAAAGTCACTATGTTCTTTAATTTACTTTTTAGTGCTTTTGAATTTAGAGCAGAGATTTAGTCTCGAGCGGGGTCGAGACGCCATCACGACATTCTTTGGAGATACGTGGCTTAGTAACGTTGGTTGATCATAGAGAGTTATATTTGATAATGTAGTTGGAAGTCGATGATCGGTGACTGTGAACCCGCTAGCTCTAAATCATTAGAATTACCGTTTCAAGGTTATAACATTGTGACTTTCCTGATTAAATTGTGTATTGAGCACTGAATACTTTATTATTTGAGCCCTGATAACGCCCACAAAATGAGTAACCACCAAAGATGATGTTCGTAGTATATGGATAACACGACATATATATATAATAAAATTGTAACTAAGCCGAATCTGTACATTAAATATTTTTTGAAAAATCTTATTGGAATAGACATTATTATCGATACAGAGGCGGAATCTATAGTTTTTACAATTTTTGTCTGTCTGTCTGTTACGCATTACAGAAAAACTACTGGAGGGATTTTGATGAAATTTGGTATGGTGATAGCTGATTATCCGGGTCAACATATACTCGTAGAATACTTTTTATCGCGGGAAAATGTCTCATTTCTGAGAAAAAATACAAAACTGCATTGTAAGAGTATACTAATATGTAAAATCTAAGAATTTGGTTTTTGGTAATCTGAACGCAGGCGGAGCCGCGGGCAATGCTAGTTTTATTATATGTATGTATAGACTACTGGCATAGTGTTATTTTGGTCCTTCCCTATTCAATTTCCTCATTGATCAAACCGTCTCAAAGTAAATACAATATATACCCAAAGGATTATTGTATGTAACAATGTTATTAATAGTTTGATTGCTTGTCCTCAGGTACTGTCAACACGCTCAAGTCTCTTCAAATCCATGTACCGAAAGCAGTTCTGACAGGTCGAGACGCGAATTTGCTGTGTACATACGAATTAGAAGGTGCCCAACTATACTCTATACGTTGGTATAGAAATATGATAGAGTTTTACCGATATGTTCCAAAAGAATCGCCTGCTACGAAAGTCTTTCCAGTGGCTGAGATTAAAGTTGACGTAAGTATGGAACGGATTGCCAATATTACGTAGCTCGAAGAAACGGTTCGGATATTGCATGATAAATGTGAATGTGAATATCATTGTTAGGTTTAAACCGACTTTAGAAAAGGTTGATCCAATTGACTCGATTACTAACTTGATTCTTATAATATGTGATTTTTGTGTATATTCTTTTTTATTAAATGTACATCGATTTCAACTAGAAGTCGATGTACATTTTTAGTTTATCCAAACTGTGTTAAAATGTACATCCTGTATATTTTTATTTATTTGTTGCTTCATTAGAGTAGTTTTCTTTAGTTGGAGAGACATATTTTTTTAAAGTCGGTAAAAATAATTGCATTAATTGTTAACTAGTGAATTACTGTTGCTTCCTTTTGGGTGCTTCCACACAGTAAGAACTAACTATATGTAATAGTAGTTAATTCATACCGTGTGGATCGAAATAGCAGTCAGATTAAAAAATATTATCTATAAAGGTAGTAATACGTAGTGTTGCTTAATATTTTAAATTTAAATAATAAAAATTTAAATCAATATTTTAACTTTTAAGTTACATATAAAACAATAATATTGCTGAAATAAATAATTAATATTTTTAATTTTCTTAATGGTTATACAGAATGTAATAATAGTAGCACTTAATAATATTAATAATTAATTTAAAAAAAATGTAATATTTATAATAATAGCAGCTAAAATTAAATAAATAATATTGCTTTATACAACTACAAAACTTATTAATAAAAAAAATGTTTAGAATTAAAATAGGCAAATATTGTAAGGTACTTTGGTGCCATTTTTGAATTTTTCAAAATCATTTTGCTTTATAGGCCTACCTATATACAGTGCCTACACTGTCGTAACAAGTAGGTAGAGTAGGGTTAGTTATTACAACACAAATATAATATTTTCATTGGTTTTTTAATAATTAATAATTTAAACTGACGCATGTACATGTATTTAAATTCTGTGCCATCTATGCATGACTATGGGTGCCTATTTATTTTTCTATGTTAGTATTAATGGTTATTTTTTATTTTATTAATATAATAACAATTTCTTATTCATACAAAAATATTATTAAACATTTGTTTTCCAATAACAAAAAATAAAATTACTGATGATTTCTCAACAGGTAGCGGCCTCAGATCAAAACCGGGTGGTACTCACAGAAGTAGATAGAACATTGACGGGGGAATATCAGTGCGAAGTGTCGGCTGATGCTCCTTTGTTTCATACGGATATAAAATCCGCGGAGATGGTCGTAGTTGGTAAGTAATCTATTTGTATTGTGTGTTTGTTTTCTATTTCTTTGAACGTGATAAACTCTGAAACTGCAAATTGGATTTCAAATTTATTGCTTTATAGCTTACTAGTTTTTGTCCACAACTTCGCTTGCTTGGTAAGCGGGATAGTGATTAAAGTTGCCCAGAAATCAATCTATGCCCTTGCAAAATTTTATTGAAATCTGTTTAGCGGTTTAAGCATGAAAACGTAACAGACAGACAGTACTACCTTCACATTTATAATATTAATATGGATTTATAAATATTATTGCTATCCTTACATCACGCGAAATTATAAATAAATAAAATAGTAGTTTGTATATAGCTTAGTAAAAAGACAAAGCTATTAATTATTTAATTATACCTATTAATTAAATTATATATATTAAGATTAATAAAATATGTTGAAATATTAAAATTTAGCCATTATTCTAAAACCGCATTGCACTATACATTTCCTCTCTCGTAAAGCAAAATCCCCTACATAGACTAACCGGATTTCCATTGAAGTTGTGAAAAAACATTTAAATCAACAGAAAAAGAAGCGGATTCAAGCAATCCAATAAACTTGCGAGGGATTAAATTAGTATTCTCCCGTCTATTTTTAGTTTATAATCCGCTATACGTGCTTCTACCAATGCCTGATAGTCGTTTTAATTTTCTATGAGAAATTCTCATTTATTTATTTTCTATAGAAAAATATTACTTTGGAAATAACGATTTTATAAAACAAATTCATGGTTTAATTCAGATTAGTAAATGTAATATTCAATACATAATATATATCTGGCTATTAAACAATGTCCTCCTGACCGATTTCGACTCTCTAAGACTAGCCAGATGTGCAGGAGATATTATAGCGCACAAGAGCACACGCAGACACAACTGCACTATCTATTCTTTTACTTCTCAAACTCTGTTGGGACGATACTTCGACACGACCGGTGAAAATTAAGGCGCAGGAAAAACGGCTTTACGTGCTCTCCGAAGCAATTTTAGTGAAATTTAGTGTTTAATATTGAAGAGCAAAAATGTATGCCGCAACTTTCAAGCCACAAGCAATATATGAACCCTAGTCGCGGCTATCTAGATGCAAGATGTAAGAATCTAATACTAGATGATACACGTGACGCAATTTTTTCGCAATACTACAATTAAAACGCTAAGTGACATAATGTAGTACCAATTCACTCTATCGCCAATTTTAAAATTGTCACTGCTGGGTCCTTTAAAATTTTAACAAATATGTTAACTTCGTAGATTAATGAATAGTAAAAATCTATTAGGTTCTTTTTTTTTGTTTCTCCCAAAAAAACCTTTTAATTATCAGATTTACAACTTTTCACAGTATACTGTCATATATTTTTTTAATTTTCTCTTTGTAGATTGAAGAGAACACAGCGATATCTCACTTAATTTTTCTGTTTCAGTATTTTGCAATCTTGAAATGCCATCTTTTGATAAAATCAGTACCAATCTAGAGTTAGTGTATCTATGGTTAATACAATAAGTAAAATAGTTAAAAAAAATAGTTTTGAGTTCTGCCCCCGTTTTGCCTAAAATTTAAAAGTCATCAAGAGGCACAATAAATTCATTCAATCGATTACATACATATACATATATGTATATACTGACTAAACTCATATAATTTGTTAAGTCTAACTAAATTGAGTTTTATTTGTTTATCTCAAATGTTTTATCCGAATTGAATGTCGTCTCCCGAATTGTTTCGTTTATAAAAGAAAAACCCTGCCATATTATAGGCACTTACTCTATCAGCCGGCATGGAAACATCTGCCTGCTTTCGTGTGTACCCTTTAAAAGGAATTCTTTATAAGTATTGCTGAAATATTGCATATTTCATAAACAAAAAATATCTTGATATGGCGAGGGAAATCTGTGAAATTTAAATCATTTCCCTTTAAAATAATATTTTTATTGGTTTAATTTAGATGACAATCTAAATTATTAATGAAATAAGTGATTAGTTCTCGCTTTAAAACTTTTGTCTCCTATGACACGGACCTTTCTTGTTAAAGTCGGTTTAGCCTTTCTAAAATTTTTCTTTATTACCATAATCGTTTTTCATATTTTTTTTATATATTAATACATGTTGTTAGCAAGTTCGATAAAAAGGTTTGCCTGTTCATTTTTTCTTCTTTATATAATTTTTTTTTTGCCTTCATTTATTTCTTTTTCAGTTACAGATAAAAATTAGAGATAAGCCACATGAAAGGGCTAATTAAATCTAATAGTATATACTAAGTTACTGATAGCGATAATATAAATGGCACGCGATCCTGTCATCATATATACTTTATATGAGAACGAACCGTTAAACTATTATAATAAAAGTCAACTTCTAGGATATTTATAGCATTTCTAGTCATAGTCATTTGTCTTGTGTAATAGCATGTATTCAACCGTTTTTATCGTCCCACTGCTGAGCACGGGCCTCCCTTAAGTACGAGGGGGATCAGGCCATAGTCCACCATGCTGGTCAAGTGCGGGTTGGCGGACTTCACATGTTTTTCGAAAACTTACTAGATTCTCTCAGATATGCAGGTTTTCTCACGATGTCTTTCTACACCGTAAGGCAAGTGGTAATCATGTTAGAAATGATTCGCACATGACAATATCAGAGATGCGAGACTCGGGATTTGAACCCGCTTTACCTGTGTAATAGCATCACACTAATATTATAACGTAAATGAGTCAGTAAGTTTGGATATAAAAATTAAAATAAGTATTTTGGACTTAAAAAACAAAAAAAACTTTGTGAACGGATTTGAGTGTAATTTAAAAGAAAATATTATAATATATAGAATCAAATATAGGCTATATTTTATAGACGTGACTAGTATATGAGCGAAAACTTCTTCAGTCTAGTGGCTAGCATGTCAAGACCTGGAAATCCTTGGTTCGATTCCCAGGTCGGACCAAGATTTGTTATTGAGTGTTTCTGTTAAGAAATTTTAAGCAGCATCCTAAGTATTTTTATATTTATTTCAGATATTACAAAAAATAATATTATTATAAATTAATATATTTATTTGTTCCATATTTCGTTTAAAAATGCTAACTTTGTTTGCATATTTAGAAATTGAAAAAAAGGTCGAGGGTCATTCACACTGAACTTACCATGAAATAAAGACCGCTCTGGCCTTCTTCACCTAAAGGAGACTATTAAGGCTAAAAGCTTTATTTTGTTCTATGAACTTCTCGCACAAATACTTTAGAGATTTGATTTCAAAAAACTCACTATAAATAGCATTAGACTGTCTTTGTAGATGAATTTCGATATATCGATAAACATTAAAAAAGACTTAGTTAATATAATAATTAAAGACATTTTATGTTACTATCGGACTACTTATAATTATTATTCGGGTATGAAGTTCTTCAACTTGAAACGGCTGGAGAAATTCATAGGTTACTCTTAGGTACATAGGGACGTAAACCGCTAGCTTATCTATACTACAGATAAATAAAATTGAAGTGTCTGTTTGTAATGTCAAAGCGTTTTACTAAATTCATATATACGGTACTTATAACAAAAAAAAATTGTCCGTCTATTTGTTCCGTGTAATATCTGAAACGGCTAGACTGATTTTGACGGGACTTTCACTGGAAGATAGCTGATGTTATAGGGAGTAACATAGGCTTCTTTTATTTTGGAAAAAAAAATTAGAGTTCCACTCAAAAAAATTAAAGCATACCTAGGGACGAACCCGAGCGAAGCGAGGGTGAGGCGCTAGTCACATAATATATTAAAAAAAATCTTCTTCAGTGCTGGCTTGGGATATCTTTTATGTGATTACAGAAATACTTTGTATATTACTATTTGCATTTGAAAATATAATAAAATGAAACAAAATCTTATAAAAAAACTCGTTTTAGACGATGTTCCAACTTCCAATACAAAGTATGTCGATATTGTATAATTTTCTTAAAACAGTGACCAAATCCAAAAGGTCTTGATATACTAATAGAAAAATAACCCCTCCCTATTGATCCACAAACTTTTTACATAATCTATACTAATATTATAAAGAAGCAGAGTTTGTTTGTTTGTTCGTTTGTTTGAACGCGCAAATCTCAGGAACTATTAATCCGATTTGAAATTTTTTTTTGTATTAGATGGCCCGTTTACTGAGGGGTGTTATAGACTATATATCATCCCGGGAAAATGTACGGTTCCCGTGGTATAGATTTGTTTTTGTCTAGCGACCAACTCGAAGCAAAGCGATGGTGAGTCGTTAGTATTGCATAATTAAATTCGTTTTCAACCCTTTTTAACGTCCCACAGCTGGGCACGGGCCTCCCAATACAAGGGGGATCAGGCCATAGTCCACCACGATGGCCAACTTGCTAGGTTCTCTCAGATATGCAGGTTTCGTCACGATATTTTCCTTCACCGAAAGACAACTGGTAATCATGTTGGAAATGATTCGCACATGAAAATATCAGTGGTGCAAGACCCGGGATTTGAACCCGCATCACTTGATTTCCCAAGCGTGCGCGTTACCACTGGGCTACCACTGCCTTAATTAAATTTAATTAAAAAATAATAATTAAATTACATTGCTTATTTTTATTTTTACAATAATATTAGTTTTCGTGTAAATACAGGTTATGATACTTGGAAACATAGGCATATACTCGTAACGTGCGGTACAAAAGCAGTAAATAAATCATTAAAATTACAGCTTTAACACCGATTCTATCATTAACAGGCCATAATCGTAAACAAATGTGACGTTGGAAATAATGAGTCCACACGTTATTACATTAGCGGAAAATAAAATGGTTCCACAATATTCGTATAATTGCAATTTCAATTTTGTTAGTGAATATTTAAATAGTTTTAAATGTTCGTGTATTGAACTAACTTTTGCACGTGAATTTTATTTATTTACCATTAATGCATATAAAAGCTTTCGTGACTAACAGATTGACATGAAATTAATTTGCTTAGAGTGGTAGCCTATTGGAATAACACTTGTTTAGGAAGCTGAGTAAATACGATTTTCATATGACGTATCTTAAATTCAAACGATCACAACTTGTTATGTGGTAGAGAAAAAGATAGTGAACCTGCATGCATAAGAGAAATTAACTTCTTATAAAAAGACTTGTGAAATGTGCATTTGATCAGAGTAGTGACTTTATCCTCCTCTCAATGTTATGGTTATTTATATTTATATGGGTATTTCTCCGAGATTGCGTTCTTCGTCTGATTTATCTGGCCAAAAATTATTTTCACTTTTGGCTCTATTGAACATACTCTTATGATTAAAGATAGGCCAAATAACATATATTTGAATTACGCACTCATTTTAATCAAATAATTTTTGAGATATTTAACTTGAAGTTTTAGGGCCCATATGAATCAAAATTTGTGACAGATGAATCAGAAACAGGAATAAAAACAAAAAAAAAACAAGTATAATATAATATTACTCTTTTTAATTAATTATAACTTTTTTATTACTTATTAATTTTATAATATATCTTTAATAAATCACGAATAAATAATAAATCTTTATTTCGGAACACTTGAACATACAATTTGAAAAGTAGGTAAATCAAACTAAAATTAACTTGTAAACTATATAAAATAAATACAAAGGTTTCCTACATTAAGAACAATAAATAAAATTAAATATTTAAGCTAAAACATAATATGAAAAATACTTTAAACTATGTCTGGAGATTTTTTTTCTCAAAATCTTCTACAGCTTTCATGATAGAATTTGTGGCGTCATTTATCCTCTGTCTCAGACATGCGATCCTCTTTCTTGTGACAACAACAAAACCATCCATGTGTGCCTCATAGAACACCCACGACGCACAACAATATCTAGGCAATCTAAACATTTGAAAAGAACAGAAGAAACATTGATAACTTGTACGTGACAATAGGCCTTAAAGAGTGTAATTTTAATCTGGTCTGTACACGCAGCAAATCTACTGGCTAAAATATTTCCACGCATCGGCAATGCTCTACTTCCTTTCTATTTCGTCCTCATCTGTTAACATTTCATTTACTACATGTCCAAGGTATTTAAAATTTATAACACGATCAACCTTAACATTATTTAGAACAACGTCAGGTACATAGCCAGAACCATTTTTATATTTAAATACCATAGTAACTAATTTTTTACTATTAAAAACTAAACCATGACTTTTAATATATTTTTCACAAATAGAATGAGCAATAGGAGTCTCTGCAAACATCTAATTGATGTACTGAGCAGCACCTTATCATCAACATAGCTATGGCTATTTGCACTGCATCCGTCTATGTGACATCCTATACTATATATTATACCATTTTTCTTTCGCTGTGTCGCAGTCGCGGTGTCGTAATGCTTAGAACCTGATCTTAATGATGATTGTATGATAAATAACTTCAACCAGATGTACCACTTTATGATTCATATGGGTTTTTGACCACATGAATCAACCCAGATAAATCAGAATTTTACCTAAAATCTTCGATTACCCGTAACATATATTTACATCGGTGTTCGCATTTAAACACAAAATTCTATAACTCAAACGTATTTTTTGGGGTATAGATTCAAGTTTTAAAACTCTGTAACATTATTTGTAATCTAGACATATTAATCAGAAACCCACCTAAATCAAGAACATATGAATCAAATACTTACTCTTGTATCTCCTGATCGACGCTGACCTGGCCGAACGTCTACCTTCGGGCCCGTTCGTCACACAACAGACTACCCCCATGCGGGTAGTGATGGTCTCATTTTTTGTATTTCGCCGAGTACGATCGAGTGAAGCGCGCCATATTAATCAGAATTTTATGGCGAACATCTTTTATTTCTTTATTTATAATAAGTAAACTATCGTAGATATAACTAAAAAAATTTTTTGGTAAAAGATAACTAATCTTCTTTCGATGTGATTATAATTTATATTGTTTTTTCAATAAGCTAATGCGTTATTTATAATTTTGTTCAGAAAAATGGGGAACGGATACGTCATGTGAATCAAAAGAACGAGTTTCAAACGATTTTTTTATATATTTAGAATGCAATTATTAAGCAAACGGAATTGGTCCAAGTTAGATAATAATCTAAGATGCATTAAAAATATATTTCAGACCGTTTTATTTGCTAGTTACGAAGATAAACCTCCAGAAATCAAAAATTTAAGGCACTGAGAAATACCCATATATTTTACTTAAGGAACGATACAATGCGTAGATAGACTTTTTGTATCTTATAATCTATAGATTATAGTATAGATAATATATTTTTTTGTTTGTTTTTTGTTTGTACCGAATACGCTCTGAAATTACTGGACCAATTTAGATGAAATTTAGTAAAACGGCAGTTTGAGACCCTGGAAAGGACATAAGATAGTTTATATCCCGGAAATCATCCGGTGAATCAACCGAGTGACGAACCTGAGCAAAGCCAGGGTGAGTCGCTAGTATCTTATACATAAGTCTCCAAGCCATCAAAATATCTTTATGCAAAAAACGGTAATCCTTTTCTCAGAATACTGTTTGAAAGATAGATAAACCAATAATTTTATATTTATGATATTATCAGTACTAAGAAAGGAGTAAGGATTTTTCTTTGTACAGACTTAGCCGTTCTTTGTTTTTTTAAGAGTAGGTATTATTTAAGTATTGTTAAATAGAAACACTATATAAAAACTCATTATATTGGTATATTTTTAGTCAATCAGAATTATACTTTAAAGTGAGGTTAATACTAACGAGTTAATATACGAGTATGGAGGTGAAAATAAAAACATATATCTAAATTCTTACATGCAAATATATTTTGCTTGGTCTGATTAAGATAAGGAGGCGTTAGAAACTACCACTCAACACGCAACGTTTGTAGCAAAGTGACATGTAACTTTGTCCCCACTGTCTACAGCACAAGTAAAACGCTGTGAAGCAATAAATAAAAAACAAAATATTTCACTCGGTCGTCCTAAGCAAAAGGGTCATCCAACGTTTTTCTAAATAAACGTTTCGAAAAGTATTGAGTGTTGCAATGTGAAAAGAACCACGAGAGTTGCATACTTATTTACTATGGCGAAAGATTTTTTTTAAATAATAAATTTTTTTTACATAGAAGTGATAGAGTAAAGATTTGTTATTTTTTTATATTAATTAAACGGACAAACTTTTTCTTTAAAGTTTTTTTCTTTAAAATGCTTATTTAAAAAAGATTAAAATCTAAGGCATAATCTTTGAATTGGGCATTCCACCCTATTTCCGATAGTACCTACTTAGCGTATAATTCCTAATAGAACAGAGCACTTAAAGAAAAAAAAATAATGAAACAAAAATCTTTAAAATCGTCCTCTACGCGAAGACTCATACTTTCCAATTTTATTCTTATTCTTTTTTATTATTTCATCAGATATGCCACTTGTCCTGATGACCACACAATTCAGACTTACTATCGGGCTTCTTCATCTTGTGGCACGGCTTCTGTTATACAGTAAAAAATATCCAATTTATTATAATGAGCGCAGTTCGGAACATTTCTTTTACAAGTTTTCACCATTTTGGAATAAATAATATTATGAGGTCTCTCAATCACTTATTTTTAGGTCTGTACTTATTTTTAGGTGCATGTTATTACTTATACTGTAATACAGAAAGCTTTTTGTGTTTATATTACGTACTTTACATTTGTAATTACAAAGGATAAATATGTTGGGACATTAACACACAGCACCATCTAGTTCCATCGTAAGGTACGAGATCTGTGTTATGGATACCAGATAGGTGATACACTACACATATATAACTTTTAATACATACATATTATTATAAATTTAAAAACCCATTACTGGAGTACAAACATTCGTGCTTATCACACAAATGAATGCCCCAATCGAGACTCGAACCTGCGACCGCTGGCACAGCAAGTAGAGTCAGTACAAACTGAGCCTAACGTATCGTGAAATGAATAAAAATATAAAATTTATTATGTATAGATTTTAACACTATTTATATTTTAGAACCACCGCTACTAAGTCCAAATGTGACATCAGATCGAATGACATACATTGGAGGGGATCATATAAGGGCGAATTGTACTTCACCTCCTTCTCTACCAGCCGCCAATATAACGTGGTTCGTCAACGAACAGATGGTAAGTTAAATAATATTACATTTCAATCTTCCTCTTGAACCATAAAATGACATATTTTTTTTATTTTAAATAATAATTAAAAAACGATAAAAATTTATAATTGCAATGATTTTTATTATTATCATAAAAAGAGGATAGTTTTTTTGTGGTATTCCTGCCATATTTACGTGTGGTGCGAAACGAAGTTGTTGTTGTTCAGTGAGTTAATTATTATTTTTGCAATCGGGAAAATAGTGGTGTTTCACCCCCTTGACTCAAACGTAAAAATACACGGTCGTGTCGAATTATCGTCCCACCGGAGTATGAGAGTGATAAAAATAGAGAGTGCACTTGGGTTTGTGCACATCTTGTGTTCCTGTGCAGTATAGTCTCAGTAAGATTGGCCATCTGGGCCGAAATCATTTAGGAAGAGAGTATAAAGGCTAATTTTTACACTTTCTAATAAGTAAACAAACACAATTATAGAATAACAAAACAAAACCTTGATCTTAAATATACATTGAATATAGTATTCAGTTCTATAATAATTATTAATAGGTACATAATAATATGATGTAAATACAAAAATGTATAAAATGTGCAGATAAAAACGTAAGCTGTGGTAATTTGACGTTGTCAGAACAAATCTGGCCAACGTAACCCATAATTTCGGATCGTGGCAACGGTCAATTTGATCTGGATGCTATAAAACCGACCTGCGGCAAAAGGCAATTTGTCAAACTGTGACAACTACCTACTCGTCCGAAAGATGGACTGTTTTATATACCATTTGATATATGATACCCTTTGTTTCCTTAACTATTATTGATTTGGAGATAATAGGGGATTTTTCGGGCAAATGTTTAGGCATTGAATCTATCTTTTAAGCTCTAGTCAACTAGTCAAAAAATATCTAGATATTTTTTAAAGGTATCTTGAAAAATATTTACATATTTGTTAACTAAATAGGTTTATAAATTTAGCTTTACTCATCTCATCTCAGACTAAGTTTAAGATTTTCGATAAACATCCGCATCACAAGAGTCACTCACCCTCGCTTAGCTCGGGTTCGCCCCTAGTACCATTTTAACGCTTAGTTTAGATTTCTCAGACATGAGATATTCTCCCGTAGTAAAAATTATCTTATATATTGACCCGTTAACCAGCTATCATCATACTAAATTTCATCAAAATCCGTCCAGTGTTTTCTCGTGATGCGTTCTCGGAGAACTTAGACAGACAGACAAAAATTCTAAAATCTATAGATTCGGATTCTGTATCGATAATAATGTTTATTTCAATAAGATTTTCCAAAAAAATATTTAATGTACAGATTCGGCTTAGTTACAGTTTTATTATATGTATAGATAATTTTATATAGGTATTTAATAACTTAAAGAATTTCTCGCTTTAAGAACTTGTATTTTTTATAGAAAAAATATGTAGACTCGTAAGAAAATAAGAAGTTATAAAATTTGGTCAAGCGTGAATTGAACTTACGAGTACTATTACCGAAACGCTCCCACTTAACCAATGTTCACTTGATTATCAATAAAAATATACCAGAGAAATAAGATAACTGAGTCAAGAAACTTAAAAGACATTTTTATTATGTTGTTTATTGACCAATTCCATTATCAACTTTACCGTTGTTAAGTACTTATACGTTGTGTATTGAATTTGTTATAAAACTTTATATTTTTCCAGGTGCCGAGCTTTACTGCAAATCATGTGCTGAATTTCAGCAACGGCTATGCTTCTAGCCTGTCCACTTTAGAGTTAGAAGCAGCAGTTCTATCACCAGTACCTACGCTGATGATAAGGTAAGATTCAAACGATTGTTCAATCAGTTTCTCATTTCAGCCGACTTCAAAAAGAAAGAAGTACTCAATTTTGCTGTATTTTTTATGTATTTCATACGTAATATCTTCGCGAGTGGAAAATCGATTTTAATAATAAATAATCTTCTGTACTCATAATAAAATATATAAATAATTAAGCTACAATTGATAATTAATTCAAATAAAACTGGTAGACCTCTTTTCTTGTATCTGCTGAGCAATAAATAGATAGGTTAAATGGTGCTAAAGTATAATGTTCATCCCGATTAAGTAGTTGTAATAAGGTATTAAGTTTTACATTACAAGGAAATTACTTGAAACTAGATCAATAAGTTTGTCTGACATCAAAAAGGGACCTAGCTCAATTCTCGTGTGTTTTTTTATATGTATACATCAAATCAAAATATACTTTTGTTAATCTTGACTTTTTAACGCGAAAATTTCACAAATATTGAAACAAATTTGTTTTTGTTTGTTTGTTTGTTTGTTTGTTTGTTTGTTTGTTTCTTTGGGTGTCCTTCTTTCACATCAAAACGTAGAGACGGATTGGCGTTATTTTTGTGCTGGAGAATAACATACCTTACCGCGGGAAATTGTCTTGTTCCCACGGGAAAACACGTTATTTTTTATATGTCTATCTATACCATACTAACTGTTACAACGTACATAGGGACGAACTCGAGCTAAGCGAGGAAGAGTCGCTAGTAGTATAGATATCTTTGAAGCTTTTTCATTCAAATTTGCTTATTTTCGCTTTTCTACTACCTTGAAAAGAAAACACAATCCACGCTATCTACTGATTGTGTATAAAAGGGTCCTAATTTTATTTGTATCCCAAGTTTCTATGTACCTTAGAAGCCTTTTTCGAATAATACTCACATTTATGTAGACGATACTTTACTCGAATTGTATATAGAAAATGGGATCCTACTCACTTCTCAATATGTGGCTTGGGGCTTATATGAATGAGCCATAATTTTCTATAATATTATCATGAAAACAGCTCGTAGCTCTATAATAATATGATTAAAAAATTGATTTGGGTACAGGAAATTACTATCTTGCGTCAAGCAAAGATTTTTCTTTTATTTATTCTTAATTAACCGACTTCCAAAAAGGAGGGGGTTCTCAATTCGTCGGAATATTTTTTTATGTATGTTCACCGATTACTCGAAGACGCCTGAACCGATTTGGATTTTTTTTTGTTTCAAAGGGTTTCTTCCCAGGTGGTCCCATATAAATTTTATGGAAATCGGTCGAGCGGTTTTATTCGCTTCGGTACCTGCTTATTACGTCTACACTAAAAATGGACTTCGAAAATATCTGATTATGTATCTATTCTAAATGAAACCCTCCGTTTAGTTATTTTTTACATTTTAGTGCCTGAAGTCGGTTTTTATTTTTTGTCAATAAGTTTATATTTTTATGATTACTAACATGCTATTAAAAGGTTTTAGCGCTAAATTTTTCAAAAATTCATATTATATATTTCTAGCCAATAAATTTTCTGTTTGTATGAATGTCAGCAGTCTAGTCAGTTAAGCTATTCATCTTTCAACGAATAAATAAACGTGAAAACCTGCTGTAAAATGAAAACGTAATAGTGGTTTTAAAACAATGTGTGCAATTTGCAGATGCGAGGCATCTATATACGACGTTTGGAAAGCAACAAGCCATACAATAGTTCTGCGAGAGCGCAGCGCTAACCCAGCCTCTGCTTTGGGTAGAAGTTTTACAGGTATGTTTGTTGACGAAGCTTTTAACATACTTTATGATACCTTTCATGTATTTATGTATGTATGTGAGGGTGGAGCGAAAAAAAATTTTTTTTCTTAGCTTCGGGGTAGAATTTGTAGCTTATAAAAAATATTTTTTTTTAAATAAGAAAAAAAAAATGTTTCCGCTCCTTCCTAATGTATGATTATATGTGTGACGTAAGTATATATGTATATATGTATGTATGTACTTAAATAATATATATTTTTTTATCTACACTTTAAAATAGAAATAAATTTTCCGTCTCTGATTTTGAAATAACTGGGCAAAATATTGAGCTGATGTAGATATTTATAGATACCGAATTCTACCTACCTACCGAAGTCTAGCTGTTTCGGAAATTAACTGGAATAAACAGACAGACGCACAAAAATTTAAATTATACATATTATAATTATTTTATTTATCTGTAAAGATAGTGATGTTTTAACATATAATCATTTTACAGGAGGAGCAACAGAAACGTGCATACCGACTATACTGGTAGTTTTATTACAAATATTTTTACAATTTTTATTAGGAAGTTACACGGAGACCTCAATAAGATAGCTGACTTTTAACTGATATAGCTACATTTGAAAATTGAAACTCATATGTTAATTTGTAGTAAGTCAGGGTTCACAGTTGTTTTAGTAAATATTAAGGACAATACGAGTTTTCTTTCTATAAATATGTATAATTCATTTAATACTTAATATGAAAATTGTAATATTTTTAATTAAAATATGTAAAAATAATGTAATTTGAGATTAAAATAATAAAAACACTGTTAGTATCAACATTCGATAATTTCGAGGTTAAATAATCCAGTGTATACATGAATTTGGCCTAATAAGCATTTCTCACTAAAACAAACAGTAAATATTTGATCCATACTAAAATACCTTTCAAAGATATGAAATGTATGTAATATTATAAACGGTAACAGAATTTCATTATGGTTATGGATTAAATAGGTCCATTTGGAATTTAATGCTTTATAAACAAATCAGTTACGTTGCATCTACATAAAATTAAATTTAGACAAAGAGCTTGAATGATTTTATAATTCCATTTAGTAGCACAATTGTATTATTAAAATAGACTGATTATATAATATTAATTTACATGTATATAATTATAATTGTTAGTGTACATAATTTACGATTGTATTAATTAAGGTTAATAATGCTAAATTCCTATTAATATTAAAATAATATTCTATTAATTTTCATTAAAAACTTTATTTATGTCTAATTTAAATAATTTTTTTACGTTATAAAATATTATATATTATAAACTATACTATAATATCTTCATAAAATATTCTATAATATTAATTATAAATAAAAAAATGAATATTTATTATGAAATCTTGAAGCTTGCGACTAAAGTATACAAAAAATAAGCTCTTTTGAATAAGCTGTATAATATAACTTTCTGCAGAGCCCTTAGTAAAAATTGTAGAAGCTCATTTCTCTGTACTGTAATTATATACTAAAAAGGTCAAGTGTCAAGATTTATAATGTACGAGTATTACTGAGTAAATAAAACGTCGCGAGCTCCTAGACTATAAAGCTGTGTTTGTTATAAGTAGTTAATATGAGGCTGTGTTTGTATTAAATAACTAATGCTATTTATTTTAGTTTATTACTTTCTATGTTTACTAGATCGATGAAGATCGTTTTTCTACGGCCCTAAAAACTACGACTTCTTAAACAATGCCTCTCAACAAGTCCATCTAATAATAATATAAATATAGATACCTTTAAATTAAATTACTTAAGTATTAATATATTTGACTTGCATTGGTTTGATGTTAGTTCGATCTGGGTGTATGCTTAATATGGGTATTATCAAATGTTTCTTCCGGTTTCAAATAAAAATAAGCCGTACAAGGAACATCTCTCATAATACTTTCTTAAATTTACGCGAATATTTGACATTTTAAATAAAACTATCTCTTCGGATTTTTTCTCGGATTTGGGTTTTTTTTAAATCCGCGAAAAAATTTACAATAATAACTACTATTATTGTGGATTTTTTCGCGAATATAATTATATTTAATAATAAATAATAAACATCTTGGATTTTCTTTTGAATCCGCGGGAAAACCCGAAATGGTAGTTCTATTTAAAATATCTCCCATTTCAATTCGGTTCGGACAATGAAGGTGTAAGTGAAGTAAGGGTAATTGTTTTTCTTTAGTTCCCATCGTTTCTTCGCAATGAATATGTTAATGCAAAACCTTGATTTACAGCAAATTTAAGAGTACTTACAATCTTTTAAAATCTTCAAATTTTCGTGGTATAAATATAGATATTAATTTATGAGAATCTTTTGCCATTTGTCATATTTCAATATTTTGCAGTAACATAGACTATGCTCTGTGTATTAATTTGTTAAATAAAGAATATGATGGTGCGTTAAAACTAAATTTTGAATATAATGTAATCACTTATAACACTATGTTAAAATCGTATAGAGACGTGGTAATAATGTAAATAATTAGTTAATTAGGCTAAAAGGAATGTTTTTAGAAAATAAATAAATCTTTAATATTGAATTTATTTTATTTTAAAAAACCCTAATCATTTTAAACTATTTAATAATAATTAATATAAAAATATGTGAATGTGATGTGTGTGAAGTTAATGAACGCGGTCAAAGCCGCGGGTATTGCTAGTGCATTATAAAATTTTCATTTATAATAATAGCTAAAATAGTAATGCAAAATTTTTGAACATATTGATTATCATGACTTAATAAAAAAATATCTAATTTAATTTATACGCATGTATTTAATTAATAAATTAATTAATATTGTAAGAAAACGTAATAAGTAATTGAATAAAAAAAGATATAATAAATAAAATATATATTTTTATATTTTTTAAATTGATGCATGTGTTTAAAAAAATATATATTTTTAATTATATAGGTACTACGAGTATGATAAAATAGCAATATAAATAAATAATAAATAACAAATAAATAATAAAGCAAACAAATAGTGATCGTAAGTATGTTATTCAAGGTCGGGATAGCCTCTACATGTGCCGAGCGGTACCTTTGACAACGGGCGGCGAATCGTCTGTCGGCACACATCAAAGATGCCGCCGCCACATGATTAACATAATACCGCCAAAATTAGTGTTGTACATTTATAAAATTTCCTACAATTTTGGGGAAAATAGAAAAGTAAATGGACTTCTTAAATTTCATTAATATGTTTACTATCTTGAATATTTGATATTTCTTATTTTATTTGGTCATGTGATTGGGATACCTATACACTGGTTTCCGATCGGACAGGGTTTTTTTAACACACTGTATATACTTACCCCTTACAACGTCACAAACTTACAATCTCGCAAACTCACAAACTTTACCTCTTTATAATATTAGTATAGATTAATGCACGTGGAGTGAAATCGAATGGAATGCTCCTTATAAATAATAGTTATAACAACACTCCAGAGATTGTTAAGCAATAACTATTTATATAGCTTTCTATATTAGTTCTAGTGTTATTTCAACAAAGTGAGCGAGGTAATTAAAGTAAACTTCCTTGAAGTTTCTTGGATAGATTGCATACTGTTTATTTACATTGCCTTAACAATCTTTCCTTACTTAAATTATAATGAATTATTTGGACCTTTGCATTTAGATTTTTTAAATTGTTCCATTCAGGTTCCCAATTAAACTATATTAAATGTCACTTTATTCGGTATATTTACTTAAAAAATAAGTAGCTTTTCACACAAGTGTTATAAATATAATAATTATCTAGATGTAGATCATTAATAGTGAAAATTACCTCTTAAATTCCAACTCATGAAGTTTACCTCTTTTACTTTATTATATCAGTTACTGTATTATATTAGTGTATATTAAATCATTAAGATGGCTTCTTGGTATTGATATTACTGGATAGATACATATATTATAGGTTCCAATCCCGATTAAGGAAAACAAAAATAATGATAAATATTCACGATTTGTATAGAATAATATGAGTATAGATCTCTATTTACATTCATATTATTCTATACATTATATTTAAAAAAAAAAAAAAAAAAGTTAGTTAGTTTTTTTTATTGTCATCTAAAAAAAAGAAGATACTTGTACGATTGACATTGGGTATAAAATAAGATATTGTACACTTGTCTTCCACTACATGTAAAATTCACTGTAATATCAGGACCTGAAACATGAAGTAAGTAAAAGTTACAATTTTATTATATGTATAGATAATAATAATAATATGTTGGGACATTAACACACAGTACCATCTAGTTCCATGGTAAGCTACGATGCTTGTGTTATGGATACCGCATAGTGATACACTAAACATATATAATTTTAAATATAAACATATCATAAATATAAACACCTATGACTGGAGTACAAACATTCGTGCTCATCACACAAATGAAGCCCCCAGCGGGACTCGTACCCGCGACCGCTGGCACAGCGAGTAGGGTCACTACAAACTGAGCCAAACGTGTCGTCAAATTTAGTAGTAAATTAGTTTCAAAATAATATTAGGTACTTAGATATACTGTGACAGTGTAAAATAAACTTAGATATAACTTATATAAACATCAAATGAGTCCATAGTTTCTAATCTATACCTAGAAACAAGACTCCATTTCCTGGGTTATAAACTTGTACGCACGTCATACCGTACTCTCCCCATAAAGTACAAACCATAAAGCTTTTTGTGCAACCATCCGTCAATGTCCTTGTGCATAGGATTTGAAATACCAAAAAATAGGAAAATGAAACAACAAAAATCACAGCGCCATTTAAATTATTCATAACTCACGTGCAATAATAGCAGGTGAATATTTTCCTTTTGTGCTCACTGAGTGAATTGGCCTGAAGCCTGCGACCGAGTGATAATAACTCATCGATTGTTTACTAGCTAACTGGATGGCACGTATAAATCCGTTGTAGATTTTTTAGGCTCGCAAGTTTGCATTAAATAGGCAATTCTCGTTAGACATATTTGTATAAAATGCTAAAAAATAAGTAAAATATAATAAGTAACTTTCTAAAAATGTACTTATTATAATGTTCTTCGCCCACCTGCCCAAGGTCTCAGTTTACGTCTCAACATTTTATTTTAGAAAATGGTTCATATTTAGTTTAATCATTTAAAAAAAATGTCCACCTATTGATACTAATATTTATTCAATTTAAGACTCTAGTTGATAGAATCTGCAAGCAACGTGTCCAAATAATTTGACATGGACATTATTTACAGTAACACGACGATCTTTTTTCTAAAGTTGTTGAAGACTCTACAACTTTTAATTTTAGTTAATCTTCATAGATAGATTTTTTTATTGATAGCGAGATTTTTATATCACAAATTTTTCAAAATAGGAAATAACGCTTTGGGTGGACGAAAATACAGTCTAAATGCAGTTCTCTGGTAATATTAATATTAAATTATAATATAATTCTAACCAAGTCGAATCTGTATATTAAATATTTGTTTGAAAAATATTATTGAAATAATTAATATTATCGATACAGGGGCCGAATCTATCGTTTTC